TAATTTTGGAAATCTCTATAGATATTCATTTCCATTAGTCCACTTCTATCATACAATTGCTTCACCTCTTACATGTTTCATTCTGTTTCAGAAACTTAGATAATGTGGAAGAGATTGGGACTTGTTCCTATATTAACCATGTGATTACAATGACCACACTCTACATTCAGCAGGTAAATAAATGAATTTGCAATGGCCAGAAGGATGACCACAATCTGTATTAGAACTGTAAAGGATTTAAGCAGTGGGAGCACACTGAGGCTAAAGTAGTCTGTTCACTTGGAAACCAAACATTAAAACTGAAGTCAACAGTGATGTATATTTAGATATAGACAGGATATATATTTCTACAATCATTATTTTGTTCTAATTTTGTGCTTTCCTTTTTCACTATCTTTTTTAGGGTTGGGATTTTGGAAAGGGGAGAGAGGAGAAGTATGTTTATTATTCCAAACTAAGCCAAAGAGCATTATTTCAGCATTTTATTTTTATTTTTGTTGACATTGTGTAGATGCATGATGCCAGGGAGTGATTTCATTATGTAATTTGTGCATTTTATTTATGATTTGTTAGATTAATTATTGTTAGAGTTTCAGGAAAAAAAGGTGGAATATGAACGTATTAAATAACAATGGTTATTTGGCAAGCACATTGTGCGAGGACTGTGCACAACTTTGAATTTTTTTTCCTATACCCTGTCACAGATGCTCTCCTTATGCTTTGATATGCCAGTTAGTTAATTGGTGAGCTCTTGGAGTTTACTGTAATGCTAAGAGCCTTTTGCAACTACATACATCTCAGCAGCCTGTGAATCAAGTGGCTGGCTGGCTGACAGGGAGCTCAGTGAGGTGGAGGTTGCCTTCAATGTGTCTTTATCCTCCTTTTGGTGTGTGCTCCACCAGGTCGTGACTAATACAGCCCTTAGGATCAAAACATTTGTCTGACTGTGTTATAGCTAAAAACAGAAAAGCAAAACTGGTCTGATTAAAACCTCCTCATTCTTATCTATGTTCATAGTGATTATATGTCCGAAATGGTATAGGGTTTCCTTCCTGAGCAGGGGGTTGGACTAGATGACCTCCAAGGTCCCTTCCAACTTTACTACTACTACTACTACTACTACTACTACTACTACTACTACTATTATTATTATTATTATTATTATTATTATTATTATTATTATTATATGCCATGGACTGGTTCACATATAATTTGTGGTTTGTTTAAACTAGGTTTGTTGAACAAGTAACATGGATACATTTCTACATAGGTAGCAAACTGAAGATGTACAGAATGTTTTTAATTCAAGCCATTAAAATGTTTGTAAAACACTACTAAAGTATTTTACATTATGATGAAAAACTTGTTTGTTACTTCTTTAGCTAAAGACGAAAACAAAGGAGAAAGAAGTGGCAGATCAAACATCTATAGAAGAATTTGTGCGACATGCGCTGGCTTTTTGTGAAGGTCTTTATGATCCATATAGGAATTGGAGGCAAAGAACTGCAGGGTATGTGAGAATATTATATAGTATTGTTCTTGTTATTTTAATCTCTTTAAAGTAAAGTTGCAAAATATATAATCCCACAAAATGTAGCGCTAAATAGAAAATATATTGATTAGACAAGAGGATTGAGGCCTCATGTAATTCTGCCCCTCAAATTGCCTACACTTGTGATTTGCTACCAGAATAAAGTATAAGCCTCCCAGTAAGATGCTTCAGGACCCTTCTGTATCATCCACCACAGGAGAGACAGAATGGGAGGCTACATCCAGTTTATGCTAGTAAGGAGATTAGATGGATCTCATCTTTTTTTAAAGTTTGAACAGATTATGTCATAAAATACTCAAATTTCTATCTGATGCTGCACTCAGATATTCAGACTGGAAAATAATGGTTATCCATTTTGGAATAAGATAGGATGTTAAACAATAAATTAAAACAATGTTTTAATTCTAGCTTCTTTTAAAATGTTTAAAATGGAAGAAGGGAATACTATTCATAAAATCGCAACAAAAGGCAGAGTATAAATCAAATCAAATCAAATCAAAGAAATGAATTAGAATTTTCCTTGTTTGATTGCTCACATCCTGAAAATTCTATAGGAAAAGGCTTCTTTTGGATCTGGGCTTTTTAAATGGAGATGTACTCATACAGGTATAATCACAGCTATAGGAGTTTGTTTAATAATTTTTTATTGTTTATGTGAATACTGTGGTTTCTCTTCAGACCATATAAATCTTTATGTGAATAAGATCAGATATATTTATAAAAGTTGCACTGTTAAAGCCACATTTCCTTAAAGTTTATGTTTTTGGCTTGATGCAGAAATAAAAACAACCCAAGGGGTATTTTAAGAATGTCATGTGAAATAAATGATATACAGAATCAATATATTATTAATGTACATATGTTTTGGTATAACTAAATGTGTTTTGAAGCTTTATTATAAATGAATATGATTTTTCTGTGTCAATATATTGTAGGCGTATTCTGAGCACAGTTGAAAAAAATAGACAAAAATATAAACCAGCTTTACTCACAGTGGAATTTGTTCCTTTCTTTTACCGTGAGTACTTTATTATAATGTCCTACCATTCAGAATTGTTTTAAACTGAGAATCTTTCAGAAATAAGATAGATTTGCAACATAGTTTTCAATTTGAAGGTGCCGGTGCTCTCTGAGCTAGGTTTAGCTCAGAGTACACCAAGGACCCAAAGTTCAACCCTGAGCTATAAGAATTCTCTTCTATCAGTAATTTGAAAATGATAAATAATTAAGCAATTTAAAGACATTATTGACCCAGATGCATTCTGGATAATAAACGTACATTTTCAATGCTATAGCATTATCCTCAGATGTGTGTGAAAGAAAGTATCTTGCCCAAGGCTCCTCCACTCCTGGTGGATTTCTGAGATGCATTACAGCACACGTTCATCTGTATGTGGTATCATTTTTTGAGAGCTCACAAGAAGTGCCCTAGAAACTTGGCTGCCTATGAATCATAAATCTAGTATATTTTTTATTTTCCCTCTTAATGGATCTGTCATGAGTCACAGATTGCAATTGGCTTAATTGCTCTTTTCTAATTAAAACACCTTAGATTTGAAATAGGTGCTACCAAGAACAGTGGTTTTTCATGAAGTGTGAAGAAGACTCATCATCTAAAACTCAGAACTCAAAGTAGCAATTCTTTAAACATTGTGGAAAATGTTGCAAAAATGACTATCACAAGTTATTGGCACAGTAATAAAAGCACTTTTTGAAAGTAATTATGCTACATTTCTTCCTTTGAAATCAAGTCTGCCATCATTAAGACCCATACATTTCTGGGGGAAAAACCTGTAACTACTGTTGAAGTGGGATACACTTTACAAAAGGCAAAAAAATATGAATTTTATATCTAGCTCTGTTAAGTATTCAGAGTTAAAATCCCTTTTAGCATTAATGTGGATCTCCCTATTATGTTTAACTTGCACAAGCTCTTGAATGCTCTTTTTGTTTCAAAACTTGTTTTGCATTTGATTACACCTCTCTCTTGAAGATTAAACAGTGACTTTGTAACAGTGCAGGCTTCTGCTATTACTGGGAACTTTTCAAGAAGCTAATTCCC